GTGTTGACGGGATGACAAATTTCGACTTTACCTTTGATATAGCTCTATAAAATTCACTACAATGAGTTGAATCCATGTGGGCATGAAAGCTGTGATGTTTTTTCAATAAAGAAAACTTACTACGAACACGTGTTTGTATATCCATTTTCAACGCATGAAACCCCCTCCCACTCCCCCACCTTCACGAACCCAGATATGTCGTGTATTTTGTTTGGATCCTGACACCCGCGATTTAGCGAGGGGTCACTGTATTACTAATGTGTTGTAATAAAACAAAATAAAATTAAGAAATTGCAATATAAAATATTCCGTCAGCGACAATAGAGAGGTTTAGTTACGCGTAATTACGCGTAAGTGATTCCAAGCGTCTGGTCTACACGTACACGTACTGTCAGTTTCGGCGTCTGAGTTTAGTTGCGCGTTGTAACACGCGAACCTTAAAAAAGAAAGCGTATATCTGTATGTCGCTCAGGGCGCCACTACACTGTGATTTGACGACAATCAGCGTGCACGATCCCGTATAATATTGCCAACTTTTGCTGCTTTTGGTAAGTATAAATTACAAATTACAATAAAACTAGTATATTTTCGAATATAACACTTACCTATTGTTTTTTTTCGGCATAAAAACCTAGTATTTTATGTACCCCTGAATATTTGTCCGTCGCTCTAAATTCGTATTACTTGAAAATGTTGTTAAGAAACATACGTTTTATAAAGCTATTTATTTTGAACCTAGGATTCCACGATTTTAATTTTTATTTTTTAATGAGAATATATAACAACTGGCTGTGGACTATTCATACTTTTGCATTGCCTAATGCAACTAAGAAACCAGATTATTGGATTTCAACTACATGTACAAATTGTATTTACAAATATAACTAAAATAAAAATATTTAATGAATCTCTTACTATATTTGTATATTATTTTCAGAGATAATGGATATCATTGATCTACTTTTGTTGGCTAATGGTTTACAAGATGAGGATCTTTGTCTGTTCCCACTCCAGATGGTGCTAGAATTGATGTTCTTTCACTGACCAATAATCAATGTCTTTCTATGTTCAGATTTGAGAAAGATGAACTCTTTCGTTTGAAGTCTGCTCTGAAAATTCCGCATAAAATTGTAGGTCCAAACAAGACTGTGGCAACTGGAGTGGAAGGTGTATGCGTCCTACTGAGAAGGCTGGTTTATCCAAATCGCCTGGATGATTTGATACATATATTTGGTCGTTCAAGAAGTGTACTCAGCATAATATTCAACACTGTTCTTAATCATATTTACGATAATTTTGGACATTTGCTGCAGTCTCTGGACAAGTACTGGTTACAACCTGAATCTTTGCAGTTATTTTGCAATGCGATTCATGAACGTGATTCTCCACTCACCAACTGTTGGGGATTTATAGATGGTACAGCACGACCTATATCAAGACCAATACATTACCAGAAACAGGTCTTCAGTGGACATAAACGAATACATGCCATGAAATTTCAATCCATAATTGCCCCTAATGGGTTGATAGCTCACATGTTTGGGCCATTTGAAGGTAGACGACATGATGCTGCCATGTTGGCAGAAAGTGGTTTATTGGAACAACTTCAACAGCTGAACGCCCCAAATGGTGACCCATACAGTGTGTACGGTGACCCAGCCTACCCTTTGCGACCACATTTACTATGTCCATTTAAGGGTGCTCTTCTCTCTCCTGAAGAGAGAGAGTTTAACAAAAAGATGAGTTGAGTACGTGAATGTGTTGAATGGGGTTTTGGCAAAATAATTAGATATTTTGGTTTTCTTGATTTCAGAAAGAATTTAAAATTATTTTTACAACCGGTGGCAAAATATTACTTGATAGGAG